GTACCAGGCAAGAACATTCCAGGTGGAGGAAATTAGGAGTGAAAAGCCTTGAGGGAGGAAAAGCTTAGCAAGTGAGAGAAACAAGAAAGGAAGTCAGGCCGGGGATTTAGCTCAGTGGTTTTGCCACCTGCTTCGCAAGGACAAGGACCCGAGTTTGATCCCTGGTACCCAAAAAGGAAAAAGAAGAAAGGAAGCCATTGTGGCTGGAGAGAAGTGAGGAGTGGAGGAGAGATGAGGAACAGATGAGTGAGTAGTTGTGGGGGTGGGGTGTGAGTGGGGGTAGGGGTAGGGGTAGGGGTGGGGATGATGGGGTAGACCAGGAAGCATGAAATGGGTGTAGATGTGAATGCAAAGTGGTAGCACTAAAGAGTTCTTCTGTGATAATGTAGCTATCTATCCTGATGGGATTATACAAATCTGTATGTGGAATAAAAGTGCATAGAACTCCTCAGGTGTGGTGGTGCACACTTGATATCCTAGTTACTTGGGAGGCTGAGGAAAGAGGGTCACAAGTTTAAGGCCAGCCTGGGCAACTTATCAAGACTCTGTCTCAAAATAAAATAAAAAAGGGGCCAGGAATGTAGCTCAGTGGTGCCCCACCTGCCTGGAAAGCCCAAGGTCCTGAGTTTAATCCCTGGTACCAAAAAAAAATTAAAATAAAATTTAAAAGGGCCAGGAATATAACTCAGTAGTAAACCAATGCTGGATTCAGCTGCCAAGTATCACACATACACACACACACACACACACACACACAGTACGTAGAACTATACACACACCTACATACAAATGAAGGCAGGTAAAATTCATAGAACTGGATACTAAGAAAAGTGAATTTTAATGTGTATAAACTATACTTTAAAAAACCAGAGAAAGTACCATGTGCAAAAAAACCATTAGAAAATAAATTACTTGGCACAAGAGGAGGCTTCCGGGCTGCCATACCACCCCTGCCAGCACAGAGGAGGTGAGCCACTCCCAGTGCACAAGAGGAGGTTTCCAGGCCATTGTAACACCCCTGCCAGCACAGAGGAGGTGAGTTGCCTGGGCGCCAGCAGCAAAAACTACCCCCCCCCCGCCATTGAAATGAGAAGACATGTAAGCAAGTCTCAAAACCAGACTTCCAGATCACCTACAGCAACCCCAAAGGGAAACAAGATGGAACACTCTGATACTCAACCACCTGGACTCCCCGAGCTGACAACAAAAGTGGATCTGGAAAAAATGAAATCAGAAATAATTTCTCAGATAACAGCAGAGATTGTGCTCATAGTGCAAGACATGATTAATAAATCTAGAGAGGAGCTCAGGAACATGATGGAATCCCAACATAGGAAACAAATGGAATCCATTAA